AATGTGATGTATGCTCTTAGAGTTGATAACAAACGACTTGCGACACAACTCCGTAGCATTTACTTTGTTGTAAATCTGCTTTTAAACTTGTGCTGATGGTTCTCTTGTGCTGTAATTTTGACCACCCTCAGCAGCTAAACTAACTTAATTCAACTTCGCCATTAAGGCTAGTGTCACTAATTTCAAACTGGGACACGATGAAATTTAGGAATAAACGGAAAATATATTTATTTCTTGTAAACTTAGTGTATATACATTCAAAGATAAATATTTATTTTTATATATAAAAGTAAATTATATTATTAAGATATTATTAAAAATAAATATTTATTCTTTCTATTTATTAAAAAATAAAGATTTACTAAACCATGTTACTGAATTAATTTTTTACTGATATTTATATATTTCGACATGAGTCAGTCTACTTCAAGAGATGTAACTTTTTTTATTTTTTCTCTCAATGTAAGGATATCAATACATCATATAAATTTAGTATAATGTAATAATTTCTCTTAATTAGAGTAAAGATAAGTAAATAAGTCAACAGTTATCTAAATACTATTAAATTATCAATAAATTCCTACTAAAGTTTACATCAATTAAGGAAATTAAATAAAAATTAAAATACCTACTACCTCAAAAAAAAAAAAAAATATGAAATTTTATTTTTATGGTATGGTTTTTGGTAGGACGGTAGAGGACGGTCCTGTTAAACCAAAGAAGAAAGAAACAAAAATAAAGTTCACTGGAGATGGAATGGAAATGGCTCTGTTTCTCAGTACGTATTACTGGATGGGTATTTCTCAGTACTTGCTTCGTGTGGATGGGTGTTTTGGTATCTTTAAAATAATAAAATAATTAATGTGCTCTATTTCTTGGAATATATTAGCTGAAAAGTCATTTTTTTTTTTTAAGAAGAACAACACAGAAGATTATAATGCCAATAAAGGTTGACATGATATTTCAAAAGCAGGTATGGAATACATTTATATATATATATATATATATATATATATATATATATATATATTTTTTTTTTTTTTCATTATGTCTTAATGATATTTACAACTGTATTAATGAAACACATTTAGTAAATTTGAACATAGCACTCTAATGATAGACCTACATTAGGAGATCACGGGGTCATCTTCTTTTCAAACGCCTCGGAGGGTTATTAGGAATCAAAGAGGAAGCAAGGTTAGAAACGAAAGGGTTGGGATGATTCTGAAGTTTATTATGGAAGGATAGGTATCTGGAATGGGCCAGATCTGAAACATAAGAAATCTGAAACATTAATATCATTATGGTCAATATGTAACAAAGTAGTGATCATTGAGGATTTTATGAAGGATTTCGTATTGTAAGAATTGGATCGATGGTTTAGTGGAGCCTCATAGCTCAACTCCGTAAGTCCAAATAGGCCTTATTATAGTCATGTATATGAGCCTTTTGTAATTAATTGGAAGTTTAGAGCGTTTGTCAAGTAAGTGCCGAAGTAATCGGAAACGTCGAGGGATTTCGTGTCGTTTCAGTCTGGTATGAGTGTTTTTATATTAATTTTTATTTTAATGGAACATTTCTTTACACCTGTTTTATTTTTTATTATAGATAAGTCATGCAACTTTGCTTGGAGCAAGCGATGTGGCGTTTTCTTAAGCAAAAAAAAAAAAAAAAATGATAAATCACTCAGCATACTGATCAATCATAATCGATACCATTGAATTAAAGAGAACGAAGAGGATAAAGTATTACGGAACCATCGTTCAACGCACAACAACTTTTTTTTCCTCTCAGCTTTTGCAACAAATTACCTAAAATTAATACGGTTAGTGAAGAAGGATTCAAAATGAGTATAAAATAATCGATTCTGCCATATTCCTCTCCACACCCAGCACAAAAAAAAAAAAAAAAAAAATGTATTTTAAAACTTCATATGTTTTTCTTTAAGTCATTATTAGTTTAGTTGTGGTTTTTTTTTTGGACATTTAGTTTTATTTGTATTATTTTGCTGATTAAGTTATTTTTATTTTTGTTTCATAGAGTGGCAATGAGCTCATTGAATACTATTATACATTTCTCTTAATTGAGAAAGATTGTAAAATTTCTTAATAACCAAGATTTTAATACAAATAAAAAAAATATTTAAATTTTGGTATGTTGAAGCTGTATGTTGTAGTTTATAATATAAGAATTTCATTATGTTTATAGATTAATTACAGTTACTTAATATAAATATAATCATTCAAAAGTCCTCTAAGCTAACAGGAGCATAGTTATGCGGAGAGAGAAAACGAGACTGAGAGAGGAGGAAAGTGGTTTTGTATGCATATTAAAATCTCATCCTAACTACGAAATTAATTTTTAATTAGAAAGGTTGAATTTGAAATGCTACCGGCTTATTCATTAGGCAGCATTGAAGTAATTAGTATAATTTTAAATTATAATTTAAATGGTGATCTTAATAAGTAATGTCAGTACAGGCAGGTTGCTTCGTTGAACAAGTTCATTTCCAGGCTATTAGAAGATAAAGTTCATCCTTAAGTACCCTTGAGAATCACCCTTAAGATATTCAAGAGACTTTTCAGATTTATTATGAGAGAATTTTAACTACCTTTACCATTATTAATTTCAATATTTCTACAAAGTTCAAGAATTTTTTTTTATTTTTAGGATTTTTAATACAATTTTGGAACTCAGTAATAAATCTAAAAGATGCTAATAGAAATCCCGGAAAAAATAATTTACAAATATGGATTATAAATAGTCAGGACACAGTCATTATAAAGTTTTTATTTGTGCTGACGTTTCAACCCAAACATGTGGGCCATCAGCAGGGCGTGGTTCGAGCACGGAAGGTTGATTCACTTAACAACCTTCAGTGCTCGAACCACGCCCTGATGATGACCCACATGTTTGGGTTGAAACTTCAGCACCAATAAAAAAACTTTATAATGACTGCGTCCCGAATATTTATCACCCATGATATGTAGAACAGTCAGAAAATAAAAAAATCCAACGTATCAAAAGATAAATAAATCAATTGTTCCATTATTGATAAATATAATCGACAAAGGAAACAAAAATTAATTTAAATCTTCATTAATGTTTGGAACCAACATGTTTACAAATCTTTGCTGAAAATTATCCGATTTCGATCATTTTTCTTTTCCTTTTATAGGGAATTTAGTAATATTTTATATAATCATGACATATTACTAACAATAATATCATAAGCAAGGGAAAGTGTGTAATTTTTTAGTTATTCACAAATAAAGTTTGTTTTCTTTCATAACATGTTTGCCTGAATTTTTGGGGTGATTGGACTATTTTCCCATCTGAAGGAGAAGGAAACCTTCGAAATTGGTGACTCAATCTAGAGATTTGGTGTAGAATTAACGATGACATGGTTTGCCGATCAAAAACACCATCGATAAATAATATAAACTCCTCCTCTCTCGATCATAGAGACCTAAAGTCGACGAAATGAGACATATATTTAATGACAGTACTATAATTAACGTAAGGTTGTGTGGATGCGAACCCTATGCCTAGAGTTATCTCGAAAATAGCGATGAAGCGAGGACACCGAGAAGCCAGAGGGAGTTAGGTCTAGGGGAAGCCCATAGGTAAGATGGATTGATAACGTGAAAGAAGACTTGAGAAAAAATGGCATATCCATCAGGTGCAATCCAGGTGTGGGCTGATTGGGCGGATGAGCAGGCCAAGGACCGCTATATGTGTCTGTTGTGCCAATAATGAATGAATGAATTACTTATCAATATATTATATATATTGTTTATCAGTACAAATATATACATTCATAAACATATCGATATTTATTTATCTATATTTTTTTTAAATATAAAACATAAAAATTATTTCAAATCAGAATATTAGTTAAGAGTCCAGAATTTGTCACCAAATTAAAAATATCTGGTGCGTGCACAACCTTTCACTTACAGCTCTACTTCGAAAATCAATTCTTGATTGGCGAAATTGGGCTATTACAAGAAATTTTTGAAGTGTATTTTTAATTAACCTGAACTTTGAACAACATTTTTTTGATTTTCGGTCATATTCATCAATATAAAAACCCATTAAGACCATCAAAATAACATAAACTCCTAGATAAATAAAGACTGTATTTTTCACGGCATTTATTTTTATTTCTCCTCCACAGTGGATACGTTTTATGATATACGTTATATACGTTACGCAGAGCTAGCTGATATTAAATACTATTTAATAATACCCTGATATACCTAGTTTAATCCAAATCTTTAGAGCCGTTTATGAGAAAATCTTAAACAATTTTAAAATCGATTTTTTAGGAAGAAAGGTGCCGAATTATCTTTTTATAAGTCTCTAATTGAAAAATACAAACCTTATAATACAAAACTCCATATTATCGAAAACACCATATTATTTTATCCAATGAGATTTCTGTTTTTACTTTCACTTACCTATATATAAAATGTTGCGATCATGAAAATTTTCTAATCTCAGTTTTCAACGGTAATACATGTTTTGAGGTCCCCTGAGTCCAAATAGTCCATGTACCCCAAAATGGTCTGTGCGTGTGTATGTCTGTCTGTGTGTGTGTGTGAGTGTGTTAGCAGTCATTTTATTTATTTTAAAAAGAAAAACAAAAGTGGAGAATACGATTCACTAAACCCCCGTGTTCTGAATCCAACGGTACCCCATTCATGGTATTTGAGTATGACAGGAGCTCATATTTGGTACAAAACTGATTTCGAGCCTTACTGTAATGATATATGCGGGGATACTTAGTTATTCGTCTATTATTATTTGTTTTTGAATTTATTTTTCATATTTACTTCCACTTAATGACCTCCATCAATCAATGATAAGTTTTTGTTAGTTAAATAATTATGTTCATCAGAAATGTGGCGTTAACATCAGAATAGAATTACTTTGAAAAACCTCATATTCTTGGAGCTAAATAAAAAATTAAAATAAGAAAATTTTTAATGGCTCACCTTGAAACCTGGTATGGTCGAACTCCTCGTACTTCGAGATATCTATCGTGTCATTGAAAGACCAGTGGCCTTGCAAATCTTGAAGGTAAGGGTTCGTCTGGAATTTGAGCAGCTCCCAAAGAGTAGTATAGTTGAGTCCGAGAGTTTCCTCGTCTGCAGAAAAAAACAATAAAAGCTTTAAAACCAAATCGTAATCAACATTACAAAATAAATGTATGTACTATTTATAGATAGATTCGTAGATTTGCTTATTTACAAGATTTTCTGCGTGCGTTGTATTGATTACTATTACATTTCGACTTTGCAGAATAAGTATCATATTGATTACAATGAGGTAAATTATCAAATAAAAATATTTCTGTATAATTTATTATATAAAGGAATTGTAGTGACGGTTTTATCATTTCTAAACTTTTAAGCATATGATTTTTCTAGCCTTATAAGGAAAAAGAAAAATGCTTTATAGTACTAAAACAAGTTATAAATTATTTATTTGAGTAAATCAACAGAAACAGGAACCGTTCTTTCTGACAAACGCAACCCGCACAGATGGAGTGCTAATACACTGCCCTGCATGAAAGTGGAGAGGAGATGGGTGTACAACAGAAATACAGTCAACAATAGATCATTTGACTTTCAGCAAACTGTAAGCTCCAAATTCAATGCGTATTTTCGTTCATGGCTTATGTGAGCTACACCTTTAAAGCAGGAAATATTGCGTTATGCATAATGCTCACAGTCCGCTTGAAGACTAAATTCTCATCAGTATGTACAAAGTAGTTTGCACACATAACTTGAGCACCACCTCGCCGCACATAGGTGCGATTAAAGAAAAACTCGCGACATCGGCTAATTTTTTTATTTTTATTATTATTTTTTTTTTATTTATTTATTATTTTATTTTTTTTATTTTTTTTTTGTTGGACCCTATAAACTAGGTAAACTGTTTTAGTGATACCTTCTGGAATTCGTGAGAATATATTCAGTTAGTAAAATATACTTTTTCCACTGTTCTTATAGAATAGTTCAAATGAAAACATAATAATTTTGAAGAATATCGCGCGATTTGTATGTTTTGTAAAATTGCTCAGTTTGAGCTGGTGGTTTATATTTTTTTTTCTTTAAACTGTACTAACTCTTTACTGTCATTCTGCTTAACTAGAAAAAATATATAAAACTTGTTTTACTTCGAATCGTTTACCTTTTTTTATCAAAAATTGTTGATTTTCAACTATTTACAAATTAAAAATGATAAAATCTCCGATATCTTCTGAAAAATTGCTTTTTTTATACCTTATAGAAGTAACTGGTAAAGAGAAATTCGTATTAATTTTAACCACCATGATCCACCTAAATGTAGTTAAAAAATATTTATAATTATTTTTGTACGTATAAATGTCCGAACGGGTTCCAGTTATGTACTAATATATCATAACTGGACATGTTCTCAAATTTAGTTTTTAGAATTGTATGATCATAAAGAAAATAAGATTCTGTAGTTATCTGTTTCGAAAAATATCTCAAACCAAAATAATAAAAGAAAATTTACATTAAATAATAAATCTTCGTTTTTGTTTTTCTAAAATTTTAATTTTGTTTACCTAGATAAATCTTTTTTTTTTTCATAAATACACATTGGAGAATATGAAGAAGTATCGACGGTGTTTAAAATTTTATTACAGTACAATTAAAATAAAATACTTGTTATCCCGTAAAAACTATTGTAAAATGAATATTTATAATTGATAAATGATAATTTGTTTTAGTTATTACATATAAATATATTATAACTATATTTAGTGTTTATTTATATGTTTCTTTAGATAAAATGACTATTATTTATAGTAATATAGACAATAGTTTTATCGTTTTCGAAGAGTTATATCATTCTTCATCATTTTCGAAGTTAGTTTATTATCACATTTGAAAATTCCCAGATTTAAACAAAGATACCGGAACTTTCTATGTTTTTCGTGAAAATTTTCTAATTTTGAAGCCATAGTCGTGTTTCTTGCCCTGAAAACGTAATGGTATTAGATATCAAGTTACTCTCACACCATTTACAAGTTCTAGGTCCATGTCCAGGAAAACCCGCCTTACGTCCCAATGCACCGCTTACATGCTACTAATTTTTACAGATGCGAGTTCAGAGTTCAAAATATTATGTCCTTTCCAATTCATGTATATGTAATACCTATCATTATCATATTATATTTCACTAGTGCCATTATAATTTTTTTTTTAATAAATGACTCTTTTTCACCAAATAAAAATGATGTTTACAATCCCTGGTGGTTTTTTTGAAATGATCTGTTTTACATTGATTGAAGTACGTGCATCGCAAATTTGTTAAACATCATAAATTCATTTGTTTCAATTCCCGCTGCTAGTATCACGGAACCGCTACATAGGCTGTTCTTCAATGAAGTTAAATGGTGCAGAAAGATTCGTTTTCGTTCATTTAGCCAGATTAGTTCTGAACATTTAGAGGGAACATGTTTAAATATTCACATATTTTTCTAAGAATAAAAGTTACTTTTTATTTATTTATATTTTTCTTATTTCCACCACCCTGCAGAGTTATTGGCAACACCTTCGAATTAGATTCTATTATAAGCTTCACCACTTTTAGGAATGGTAATGTTATTTAACTTAATAGATGGTGCCACATCAAAATTTTCTGGTACAGTTTTTAGTGTAAGGCAGTCTTCTATTGTATATTTCATTGTCCTTTGCATCCTCTCGCAGATCGGAGGATCAACTTCCCTTAGTAGGTAGGTATGCGAGAACTCACAATGTTAAATGCTTAATCGGCATAGGGCCTCTTCTCTTCTGGGTCTCTTTTTTTCTGGATGGCCGATGTGAGATTTCCCATTTTCATCTGGGGAAATTCTTTCCCTTAATGTTAGCTTTTGTTCCCACTAATTTTGTCCCATTTTCCAAATATCTCTCTTTTTTTAAGTGTTCCTCTAATGGTATTTCATTGATTGATTACACTGGAGTTGTCCTTTTTTTTATCATATTGGCTGCTTGATCGGCTTGTTCATTTCATGTGATTCCGCAATTCGAAATGACCCAGATGAACACTTGCACTTAAGAGATTCACTATCGCTTGTACTATCGCTACCATTTCACCAGTAAAAACTTAGCAAGCCTCAGAGAGTTTCAATAGTTTTCGAATATAAGAATTTTAAACAGAGCCTCCTACTTCCTCGTCTACTTTTGAAGCATCCCTACACAAGATTTTATACTGTTTGTATTTTTCCAAATATTATACATATAACTTTTCTATTTCAACTTATCAATACTTATACTTTTCAATACGAATATCTCCAAAAAAAATGTTGTATGATATGAATAGATCAATGGTTTTCATGATAACCTCGAACTACAATATGTGGAGTTGAAGGCACTATTTTATTAAATTTATGAGCAAACCAACTTCTAAAATTATTGTTAACATGATCGGAAGCAACTAGAGTCACAAATTTACTACTTGGACAACAGGTGGTGCCCCTGCCAACTTTATTACGTCAAATGACCGCTGTGAGCGCTGCCTCGTGAATCCACCTCTATTGTTCTCAACGGCAGCGCCAAGCTTTCATGGCCCTTTCATCGGAGTTATTGCCTCGTAATTTCGAGGGTGTCCTCCGGTGCTCTTGCATGCGGAAGGAACCCTTCGAGCTCAGTTCACTTTTATAGCTGGAAAACGCCCTCTCTTGCCGTAATCAAAGATAAATTATGACTACCAGTGCACTGCAGTAGTTCTGAAGACAACAACCATTGCCTGAGTAAAAACATTATGAATGAGTAGTTTTAGCATAAATCAATGGAAATATAAACCAGTCAGCTATCAACCGATCGGTATAACTGACCATTTATTGATAGTTGTTTATTTATCTAGACTATATATATAGTTTTAAAACCAATACTATAACATGTTACATGATCATATATATATATATATATTTACAACTTTTCTTTAACCGACCTTTGAGTATTAAATTTAAACATAACCATTTAATTGGGAATAAGGCCACTCATTAATTATTCAATAAACCACCAAATGTTCATTTCCTCAGTGTTTATTGACGTTTCGATCCCGGTATTTTTCTTTTTATAAGTTAGCAATGGGATCCTCTTCAAAGTTTTAAAAATAGAGCTTCGATACCTCAGGCCAGGGACACACCGACAGTCTCAGCATCGTCCACCAGCACATACATTAGCTACCTAGTAGCTTAATAGTACCGAGTTATTTCCAATTAAATGGTTATGTTTAATATATATATATATATATATATATATATATATATATATATATATATATATATATATATATATATATATATATATATATATATATAGTTGTTTTTTTTTTTCATTTCTTCTCATGAACTTGTGTATATTCTTACGTGTACCTATAAACTTTTACATATATTTTTTAATACCACGTCGCTTATGTTTTGCAAGATTACTTTGCTCTTAAAGTTGCTTAATTTTTTATTTTCCTACTATTTTTGTTATAAATGTTTTAATTTTTACTAGGATAGAATATATAAATCTTTATTTCTTTATATTTTACTTTACGTTAGTTCTTTTTTACTTGGTATTCATTTACTGGCTGAATTAATTTCTTATTTATTCCTTTTGTTACTTCCTTTTTTAATTTATTTTTCAACAAGCAATAACCGCACCTCAGTAGGACTTCATTGGTTACGATATTGCCTCTGCGCAAGATTCTCCAAATTTCACCAGAACCTTAACTACCATCCAAATCCTCTTGCACAATCCCTATCAAGCACCTCCCATCCCTATAATCCTCCAAGAAGGTTGAAACGGCAGTGGCCTCGCGACCTTTTATAGATTGTATAAATTTAAGTTCTGGCAATGGCCAGATTCTTCATTCAAGACATGAGTGTATGTGGCTAAAGTGCTCTCGACCAATCTACGCTGGCTTTAGTACCAGTGACGCGGTTGGGAGAGTAGCGTAGGGTTCTCCCGGAGTTCCCTCGGCTGATTGTATATAGGTATGAATGTGTTTTTTTTTTTTTCTTAGTTTTGATTTTCTTATTTTTTAGGTTATTTTATTTTATTGTCTATTGTATATACCCTTGATTATTATTTTGTTCTATTTATTTTATTTTTTTGTACAT